TATTGTATGTTGGATTATATAAAAATGTATTAATTGTATAGAAGTTACGGGTTACTTGGATGAAAAGGAAATTAATGATATTATAAATTACATTAAGAAAAGTAATTATTATATATATTTAGTAAAATTTTCATGTCAATAATTATATATAAATTTAAAAATAATGATAATATGTTACGTCGAATTAACAAAAAGTAATATCTTCATAATTGAAATGAAAGTGATCGATAATACAAATAATTAAATTATTTTAAAAAATAATAATTAAAATAAAATATATTAAAAGTAAAAGGACCATTTGTATAATCTACTCAAAATTAAAATAAAATTGCATAATGAAAATAATAATGGACTCCATTACGAGTGATATTTATACATGGGAGTAGAGGCGATTATCGAGAGATTTGATCGCGAGTTGGACAGCGTTTAATTTGTGTTCATTAAAAAAATTTGTTGCTCGACTCGTTACTCGTTAAGTTTGTTAAAATTTTGCTCGACTCGTGATCGTTAAGAAAACTTGTTTCTTAACTCATTGCTCACTTTGTTAAAATTTAAGTTCGTTATTCATTGCTCACTTCGTTGTTTGTTAATCTCACCAAATTTTTATCTTATTTTCTTAACTATAAGTAAAATTTACTAATGCTATATAGAACTTAATATAAACATAAATTAATAAATTTAACCAAAAAAAATTATCAAAAAGTGCATGAAGTAATTTTAAAGTAAAACCTCCAAAAGTAACAAACAATCCACAAGTATATTAAAATAATAAATAAAGTTTACTTTTTGAGTGTGTAAATTAATTTTTTAAGATAATTATAAAAATTTATATAAAAAGTTAACAAAATGCTAACTAACTTATCGAGTTGAATTAAATTTTACTTAATTCATCTTATTAAAGTCTCGAGTCAAACTCGAATTCAAATCAAATTAACCCAAATCAAGATTTTATCAAATTTTATTTGCTCACAAATTACTTAACTCATTAATCACCTTTATACATTTAGGGTGTGTTTGGTTCATGGAATGTAAGATTACCGGTGGGAATAAAAGATTACTAGGGAATAGGATTACTAGGAATGTTGTATTTTGTGTTTGGTTGATTTAGCAGGAATGTAAGATTACCGTGTTTGGTTAAAGACATAAAAGATTATTGGAATGTATATTTGACCAAATTGTCCTTATTATATATTTGTATAATATTACAAGTTGTAAAATATTTATATATTTTCTTTAAAAAAATAAATTTATAATATTTATATAATTTTTTTACAAAATTAAAAATATTAAAAAGGTTTAATGAAAGGGTAAAATTTTATTTTAACCCCTGAACTTCATATAAAATTTTAATTATAGACTTTTTTAAGAAATCTAAAATAATTTAAGGATAAATTTGTAATTTAATCTTCGTATAATTTTTATTATTCAATGACAGAAAAATGATATTTTTGAAAAAAATAAAAATTTAAGGGCATTTTAGTCCAAAAAATCGGTAATGTTACAATATCTAAGGAAATGAAGATAATGACATTCTCAGTATACCCAAAAAAATTTATTATTAATAATAAAACAATACCAAAAATAACATTAGCAATCAAATCAAACAAAAAATATGAATTTTATTCCCGGAAAAATCTAACATTTATATGAAGAACTGTATACATAAATATACAAATTCACGGAAGTTACGGTTATTCGTACAGAAATGGTGTCAGTAGTTCGGCAGGGGCAGCAAAATATTTAGGTATAAGTATATAAATGGTCCTCTGATTATAAGGTTCTATTTTATTTAGTCTCCTAACTATTAGAAATTATAAAATAGTCTTCTAACTATAAGATATTGTAATGTTGAGTTCTCTAACTATTAAAAGTTATAAAATGATTACTTGACTATTCATGTACTCCAAAGTCATCATTTTCTATTAAAAATTTGATGGTAATCTAAGTTGGACGTTAATCTACTATATGAGATATGAAAATATATGATCAAGAAATCTCAAACGATCATCGTATTTCAATCAATATGTTAACATACATCTTATATTATCGTAAATTTTTTAACAAAAAATACAAGTTTGGAATATATGGATAGTTAGGTGATTATTTTATAACTTTTAATAATCAAGAGCATAACAAAAAAAATGATCTATAGGTAAGGATATTTTTATAATTTTTAATAATTGAGAAACTCAGTAAAGTAATATTTTAGAGTTGAGGGATCAATTGTGTACTTTAGCCAATTTTAGGACCAGTAAAGTTATGAATCAGCCGAAGCAATGGACCATTTTGGATTTGGTGAATCAGTGAAGTGATGGATTTTATTACTTTCTTTAAACATATCTCCAATTGATTTTTGACTGTTTGAGGCTTTTTGGGTTATTTTATGTTTCCCATTTCTTTTTCTTTTACTTTGTTTGAATGCCACAGCGAAGGAGTGGCATGCAAGCAAATGTAGGAGTGTAAGACCGAATATACCAAACTCAAATGTCGCATCAAACAATAACATCGTGGAGAGTCAAATATCCCATCAATCAATAACACACGTGGAATTTTATATTAAAAGAGATGAATTTTAATTTTTAAAATTTTAGAAATGAAGAATTTAGATTTATCAAATTTTTAATAAAAAATATACTATAATTTAAAACTTTTATAAAGAATGACCGCTCCTCCCGATCTTGTTTGTATTTGTTTGTGTACTTTTTCGAAAATGTTGATGCCCCTCAATCACATGGGACTAGAAACTTCCTTCCCACCATCATTCTTTGTCCGTCTAACCCAGACTTGAATTAAGGGTAGGAAGTAGAGGTATACAAAAAATTTGAATATCTGATTTTGTGTAAAAAATATTTGAAATTAGATTTGAAAAAAATTGATTTTTTTAAAATTGGATCAGATATTTAAAAATCGGATAGTATAATTGGTTTGGAAAAAATTTGGATGATCAGTTTTTTACCGGATTAAAAATCGGTTTGAAAAAACCAGATAAAAAACTGGTTTTTATCCGAAAAGAAATACGGTTTGGAGTTTTAAAAACTAACCGTTAGGGGGTTTGTGACCATTTTTTGACCTTTTTTTCTAAAAAAAATCACCATTTTACTACCCTAAACATGTATAAATATGTTGTATATATATTTAGTTGATTACAACTTTCTCAAATCTTATTACACAACACCTAAACATATCTCAAATCTTATTTTTGTAATTTTTTGTTCATCATGGCTACAAACCGATTTTTTTATATCTGATTTTTTTTTAAAAAACCGATTTTTTCAAACTAAAACCGATTACACCATCTGGCCCTCCAAACCGATTAAAACAGATTAGGATCCGAACCGATTTTTTTAAAATCCGATTTTTTTGCTAGGTGAAAAAACCGTATCGTTTTATATCAGATCAAGATTAATTTTTTATCCGACTTTGGGCATGTCTAGTAGGGAGGGGTACTTAAACGAATTAAACAATAAAGTGAATTGTGTGAAAAGTTGGACGAAAAGTATATTTATGTTTGTTTGTTTGCTTGTTTATTAAACGAATAATATGAATAATATTTTATATTTATCTTATTAAATGTACGAACATGAAAAAAAGGTTCGTTCATTTATTTATGTTCATGAACGTTCGGTAATATATTTGTTTATTTATGTTCGCTTATGTTCGTTCGTTTATGTTCAGCTCAATCTCCAAACCCGTTTAAAACATTAAAAACCTAATAAATTTTAATGTTAAACCCGTTAATATTTTAAAATCTAATTAATTTTAAATTCAAATAAAAAAATACTCAAATTAATTAAAGAAAATATAAAACCTAAATTATTTAGAAAAAAAAATTATTCTCAAATATACTCAATTAATTTTATGTTTGTTTGTTTGTTTATGTTCGTTCGTGTTCGTTTATAATTTTAACAAACGAATAAAAACGAACACAAACAAGTTACATTCCTTAATGAACAAACACAAACAAGAAATTTTGTTCATTTAGTTGTTCCTGTTCGTTTGTTTGTTATGTTAAAGTTAAACGAACGGACATGAACATATCCTCGTTTGTGTTAGTTCAATTCGTTTACAAGCCTAATTAAAACTTTAGTTAAGGTAGAAAACGGAGAATAGTAAAATTTCTTTGGCGAAAAGGTTCAGATGTCCATGTACTTTTGGAAAAAAATCAATGTGACTCTCATATTATTTTTTCCTCTCAATATGACCCTTCAACTCAGAAAATAAACCCAATGTGACCCTTTGACCAACGTATTTCGTCGTTTCACTGTTACGGTGTTGACGTGACAGTTCATGCTGCTGATGACGGTCCACAGTACAGACGTGTTAGTCTATCTGCTATGTTTAAGTTATCAATTTAGCCCATCTTTTATAATGTTTGCCACGTTATCAACTAGCATTGACTGTCACGTCAATACCGTGAACAACCACGTCAGCATCGTAACGATCAACGACGAAAAATGTTAGTCAAAGGACAATGGACTTATTTTATGAGTTGAAGGGACACATTGAGAGAAAAAATAATATGAGAGTCATATTTGTTTTTTGTTTTTTTCAAGTACATACCTCTTTTACTTTTTACCAATTTCTTTTCTTTTCTTTACAACATTGTTAGAAGTTTTGTTTTTTTTTAAAGAAAATTACTATGTCGTAGGGTTGGTAAATTTAGTAAAAAATAAATAATGAGAAAAGAAAATAGGATTGTGAGTAAATTCTATGTATGCCTTAACTTACAAATCCTCATTGTAACTAAAACTAAAGTGCAGAAATCTCTCCCAACTATATTTTACTATCAATATCATATGTACGCCTCAAGTAAAATCTGTTCCACATCTTCTCTCATATTTAACCCTCCGTTGTCCTACAACTTTCAAATCAATTTCAATGAGTTTCTAATGCAGTAATTAAATAAGTGGATGGATTGTTAAATGTTTGCCAAGATTACATAAATGGACATTTTTGTGCATATGCCAACTGATATAAGGGGTAGAGGGAACCTACCCAAAACACCACAGAAACACATATACAACATAGAATCGTTATTTTATAACTCCGATATCTACAATAAATGCATTAACACTTATTATTGTGGCAATCATAATAACCGTAATTCAACTCCAGTTTAAATTCCAGCTTGGTCCACATGGATCATAGCATCTTCAGCAACGCAGTGGCCTTTGTTTTGGTCCTACCACTACAGTGGCTCTGCAGAAGCAACAGCAACTGCGTCAAAACTCCACCCACTATTGCTTTTTCCCTGGCTTCCAATGATTCCTCACACACTTTCATCAAAGAGTTAACCGCGCTTTCACTCCCTTCCTGCTCCGACACCCTGAACACCATCTTCACCATCGCTTTCACGCCGTTTGGATTCTTTATCAGCGCCTCTTTCGCTCTCTCGTCCCCCAGCCCTTGCTCTATTATACCCATCGCCATCGCCGCCAAGCTTCTTTCTTTTCTTTCCGAGTTCAAAATGTATGTCACCAGGCCATCGATCAGGCCCTGTTGGACCAGGTTTTCCCTGTTTGATTCCAAGCAACACAATGCCGAAATCGCTTTCACTCCAGCCTCGGACATCTCACTGTTTTGTTGCTTCACAACACAGACCATCACGTTCAACAATCTCTGGTTTTTTCCAATCATTGCACAGAGCTCCCTGGTTTCTGCTGCCGATGAAATCAACCCTACCATGTGACACAAGCTTTGCTTCATTTTTACACTCCCATGCTCAAATAGACCCACAAAATATTCCAAATTCGACTCTTCTTTAAGCATATTCAAACACTCTAATTCTCCAAAAGGAAGCAATCTAAGAACACAAACGAGCCCTTGCTCCACCAAGTCGACATACTCTTGGGAGAATTCAGGGTTCACCATTTCGAAAACCAGTTGCAGAAGCAAAGGCAAGAAACCCATTTCGATCAGAAAGGAATTTGCAGACGGCATTTCATCCGTAAAGGCTCGGATCTTTTGCAGTGCTTGAAGCTTGTCCCGGGAGTTAGCCGAAGCAGACGCAAGGGAGTTCTTAATTGCCGTAAAGTAATCAGAGTCTGATCGGTGACCCTTTTGGCGCCATTGTTGAATCAGATGACGAAGATTATGATTGGGAACAAGAGATGGATCGTGGAGCCTTTGCATTGTGACGGGGCACGTGAGATTACCGGCGGCGAACCATTGTTGTATGCTCGATCGGTCGTAGGTTTGGCCCGTACAAATGGTGACAGGATCCGTGAACAAGTCCAGGCTGATTGGGCATCTAAATAAATGAGGTATTGTCGTTTGACCTTCTTTCATGGAAGAACAAGAAAACCAAAAAAGCTTCAAACAAGAAAAATGAATTGATTTCTTTGAAGAATATGCAAAGATGGAGGGTTTTTTATTAAAAAATCACACAAACACCAAAAAGGCAGTAAACAAAGTTAGTAGTGATAAAGTTGGCTTTTCTAAAATCAGATTGTAGAGCCAAAAGTGAAGAAATGACAGGAGACTGGGAAAGTGAAACTGAGCTATCGGTGTAATTATAAAAACATAGTAGTAATACACAGTACAAAGTGATGAAAAAAGATGAATAGAAAGCTTAAGGATTTGCAGTAGCAAGGGAAGAGGGAGAGATAGAGAGCCAAAATGCGAGCTTAGCTGGAGGGACAAGAGAAGAGTAGGGAACAAAGAGGATAAAATCAGGGGATATCCCTGGACTGAGTTTGGGATTGAAAATAGGGTAAACTACGTATCTAGTCATCATACTCTTCCCGTAATTTTGTTTTGATCATCTAACTATTTTTTTTAATTATATCTAAAATTATGTTTTTATTTTATTTTTATCACATATCGTTAAAAAATTAATAATGATTTTAATATACCACCATAATATAACTTCATATTATTATTAAAAAATAAAAACAATTATCATAATAACAATTCTATTAAAATTTAATGATATATGAATAAAAAATAATTTTAAGTGTGATTTTAAGAAAATAATTAGTTAACTAAGATAAAACAGTAAAAACAATCAAGTGGTTAACTACGTAGTTTACCCTTGAAACTAATAGTTTAGAATAAGTGTTGGGGATGGTCCACTCCCAACTTTCCAGTCAAACTGACCCTCTAGAAAGAATAAAAATAAAATATAATTTTTATAATTAATTTGTATAAAAAGTTTGAATTGAATGCAGCAGCAGTGCCAGTAGGTTGAAAATTAAAATGTGGACTACGAAAACACATTTGAGATTAGGATGGAGAGAAAAAGATAGCCGCTCATCAAAGTATTAATTTTTTTTATAATTAATTTGTATAAAAAGTTTGAATTGAATGAAGAACAGTTAATAACGTGTATTTATTTTTAAAATTAACCATATGACCATAAATTATTAAAATTATTAATTATTATTTAAAAATAATAATTAATGAATAATAATTCATTTGAACCTTCAATCATAATTATAATTTTATTTTAATATTTTTATTTTTTAAAACAATTAATTTTAAAATGTAAGAAATCTTTTTAAAATATAAGAAATTTATAATATTTTAAATTATAAAATATTTCTTATTATTATTATCATCATCATTTTGAAAAAAGAAATACTAGTTATAAAACTTTTATAAAATTATTCATATTTTAAATTACTTACCCTCAAAGTTTTTCTAGACTAGACTATACCCATAGGGTCAAAAAGGCGTTAGAAATTATCAAGTAGTAATTGGTAGACATAATTGAATTATGTAATTTCATGCAAAAATCAAAATTTGTCGAGTTATAAAATAATTTATAAAAATATATTTAAAAATTGTAATGCTCAAAGTTTTTTTTGAACAAAAAAAATAAAGAAAGTTGATGTTTTTATACAAATAGCACCATAATAGAAATTAATTATATATTAGACACCGTTTAAAACTTTTTTTCAGATCCAACACATATCATAGAAAGGTACATATGATTATCCGTTCCTTACCCCCACATGGCGTCACGTCAACGTAAGACACGGATCATGATCGTCACCTTTCTGCAAAGGGTACTAGATCCGTAATATTTTCTCTAATGGTGTCTGACACGTAAATAAAAAAATTCAGTGATTTTTTGGTAAATACTCCGCTCATCAAAATATTAATATTTTTTACGAAGTTAAGGAGATTATATAGTAGTAATTTGAATATTTGTTCAAAATATTTTTAATTATTTGATAATGAACGTTTAATCACTCTACTACAGTCGTTGGTATTCGAAACCGTGACTTATAAAAATAACAATGATTCATTTAACCACTGAACTCTAAAAACCCGTGATCTCTAAGAACCCATAAAAATGAGTTAAATAATATTGTGATTTTTTTAAATTTGTATATTATTGTTATTTTTTGTTTGAACTTTTTAATTTAATAAAATATAAAAAAATAAAAAAATTCTAAACAAATTCATTTATTTTAAGAATACCATAATATTTTTTAAATTTTTTTAAAAATTACTTAAAGATTTTTTAAAATTTTTAAAATTTAACATATATTATAAATCACTACATAATTTTAATACTATTTTTAAAATTAAAAAAAAACCCGTGGTATTATTAGAAAGTGAAAATATCCAAAATTACAATAAGAGTTTACAATTATCATCATAAACTAAATACATAATTTTGATATTTTTCTATAACATTGAAACTAGTCACTTTAGATCTTATAAGGATCATACATGAAAAATATTAAAACCCCAACAAAAAGACTCGGACAAAAATAAATAAGAACAAATCTGATTTTATCTGCAAATGAACCGCAAAAGGGAATTAAACTATTGAAAGACCACTGAGAATCGCAAATCAGAGCCGAGCGTAGTGAGTAACTATCTACAAACACAAAATCGCGCATCCAAATTTAATCCGAAGATCCATAGCAGGGACGATCAACAAGATTTCAAATAAAAGCCTTCTTGATCAATCGTGGCGTAGTCAAATCCAACCATGAGAAAACATAAATAAAAGAACAGCCAAACGATCGAGAAAAAAATGAAAAACATATCATAAAGGTAGAATAAACGTGCCACGAAGGCTAGGATAAATATGATATTAAGGTAGAATTATTCTTATTAAAAAATTTTAAAAAATAAATAGAAAATAGAACCAACAGTCGGTAACCACCATTAAAACCAATGCCATCACCGACTAAATAAAATCAAAGAAAAAATTGATTTGATTTATAAAAAAAAGACATAAAGTCAAAGAAAAAAAAAGAGATAAGATTTTAATACTAAAATTGAATTAAAAAGAATAGGATAGCCTGTATCACGACAATGTTTTTAAATAAATACATGCAATATATGTATGTGTTAACATAAACATGAAAGCAAAATTAGACAACAATAACAATGAATATACATGAATTTTGTTTTCAATTACTCCATAAACATAAATTTTAAATATTATATTTAAACATTTGTAAAAATAAATGCCTATCCAATGTGAGATTTACTTCTTTGCATTACCCACAATACAAACTTAGGTGTATATGGTAATTTATACAGGCAATGCTTAAAAAGAAATGCATATAGTACATTTGCGGGTTACCATAAACACGAATAAAAATTAGGTAGCTTTAGTAATAAACGTGCCTAAATTTTATTTTCAATCACTTAATAAATGTAAATTTAAAAGATTATATCTAAATACTTAAAAAATTATTGACCAGCCAATATGAGATTTGCATCTTTATATTACCCACAACAGAAACTTACGTGGATATGGTAATTTATGCAAACAATGTCTAAAATGAAATGGATGCAGTACATGTACGTGTTAGCGTAGACACAAATGTAAATTATATATCGGTGATGATGGACGTGAATGAATTTTATTTTCAATCACTTAATAAATATAAATTTTAAAAATTATATTTAAATATCTAAAAAAATGAATATCTAACCAATATAAAATTTCCTCTGAAATCAAGAAAGTAAGTGATATCTGGAATGAGATTAGGGTGAAGAATACCAAAGCTCATTGGCATTCACTGCTATGGTTTCCTCTTCTCATCCCAAAACATAGTCTTATTGCTTGGATGGCACTCCTTGACATGGTCCCTACTAAAGAAAGGCTCCACCGTATGAGTCTTATTACTGATTGCCACTGTATTTTCTGTGGTGCTGTTCTGGAAACTAGAAATCATTTGTTCTTCGATTGTCAAATTGTTGTATCATTATGGAAAGTAATCTTCTCCCTCAATGGTTTACGGTTTAGACACTCATCATGGGATGGTTTTTTTGTTTGGGCTGCTGATTCTTGGAACGGTAAATCTTTACTCACTTCTATTTTGAAAATTGCTTCGAATGCATTAATCTACACACTTTGGCAAGAAAGGAACAATGGAATCTTCCAAGGTCGTTCCTCAACTGTTGAAGAAATGTTTTGTGCTATCAATAGATTAGATAATGTTAATATTACTCTTTGTAACCAATGGGGTATAGTTTGATTTTGATTGATTGCCGATTTTTTGTTTAAGGGCGATCTTTGTAAATCTGAACACTGATTGTTTTTTGTAGCAGTTCTCTGCTCTTTGGGTAATAAAAATGAATTATCCAAACAAAAAAAAATTACTTCTTTATATTACTTACAATAGAAACTTATGTGCATACGTTAATTTAGGTTAAACAAAACATTTGTACTTATAAATTATATGAACTCAATTTAAAAGAAGAAAAATGAATTGAACTTGATCATTATTGAACTAAGCTTGAGTTTAACTCGATCAACAAACAGAATTCAAAGTATTTAACCTTGTTATCATCTCTGGACCTGTACTAACTGTTACCACCTGTGGACCTATAGTATCGCAACCCCTGTTTGTGTACATATGGCTAACACGAACATCGTTATCATGCAAACAACCCCTTGCCAACCAGGCGCCCTCAATGCGGACATACCTCACGTGCAACCTACAACAATCCCATGTCGATGTACGCAGTATAGTATCCTATACCAACTTATCACCTCCCAAGGCAACCAAGGGGTTGAAGTGTGACAGTTGTAAACAACACTACAACAAAACAGGTTTTTAGAAGCGTTTTTAGCCTTATAGTAGCGTTTTAAGCACCGCTAAAAACTCTCCCGACACTAATAAAAGTGCCACAAAAAGCAATGTAAAGCAAACGCCACATCAGTTAATGGCATTTGTGAAAAAAAAAACCGTAAAAGGTCAAGATCTATGACGGCGTTTCAGAAGCAAACGCCACAAAATGTCAAGCTCTATAGCGGCGTTTTGAAATCAAACACTGCCAATTATCTTGTCTGTAGTGGTATTTGTGGTAAAAAAAAAGCCACAAAATTTGTATGCCATTAGTGACGATTTCTTCACAAAACGCCGCAAAAGAGTGTGGTTCTAGTGACATTTGTTTACAAACGCCGCTATGATTAATTAATTTTGCATATATTATTTTATACTCTATATTACAAAAAATTAATATAATGTAGCATTATCTAATTAACAACAAAC